ACAAGTTTCCTGATTGTTCACCCAGTGGCCAGTAACGGACACTTGTTTAATGGTTTTTGGGACTAAACTGGACATTTCAGCTTAAAGTTTGTCCTGCAGTTCTGTGTTTTTGCACTTTGAGACAGTTTAACATTGAACATGTATGTTCACTAGCTAAGTGAATGGTGCACAGTACTCCTGGTTTAGCTCGTTCAGCTTACTAAGGAGACTGCCTCTTCATCATTCCAGCCTGGATGTGAAGATTAGTCATAACTGGAGTGTTTATGGACTGACAGAAGAGTGCCTTTGGATTATATATTTTTAATTTTCCTACTCCTGGACATTGCCCATTGGAGTTAAACCCTGGACCAGCAGAAGGATGATTGCATCACCACCTTAGAACATCGTTTGGGTTTCCTCTTCACCTGAACTGGGACCAGAGTCTGTATGTACTGAACTACTAAACCAGGTACTGCTTTGTTTTATTAATTTGCTCAAAGAGTGGAACAGCCGTTAAGTTTTGTGCCTCACTGCTCCCAAGCTTGGCTCAGGCCTGCAGCTTTAAGGTTTTACAGCTGGATAAGCCAGCAGGTGTCTGTGTGTTTGATTGGTGAGTGGGCCCTCACATAAAGTTGAAGAGTTACAGTGACATCTGACTACAGATGCAGTTTTGTGTTTTATTGTGTAAGTTGTTCAATGTTTAAAGACACATTAAGTAAACTGAGTTCACATTTACCTTATGGTTTGGTTATTTTTAGTTTAACAGAGTGTGTGAGTGTGTGTGAGATGACCACAGTGTGTATTAAAAGGAAATTAGGAGATTATTGGGTGTGTTAAAGGATACGTTGGACTTGAAGTTCAGCAATTAAAATAGTTAATAGTTTTTAATGCTACATATAAGAATCTAGGAGGCCCTTACCTAGTACAGCGGGAAGGTGGGCTACACAAACATTGAGACTTGAAAGACTTAGTAAGCGTATAACCTGACTATAACGGCAGGCAGATTGTGTGAAGCGGTTCAGTATTAGTGGCGTCTCCATAGACATGTCTGTGGTCTCCAGAACTTCTCTTTCTGCCTCTCAATGCAGAACTTCCGATTACATTTCAAAATAAGAGCAACATAAATGGGTTGTGGGGAGGGCTAATTTTTTTTATACCTAACCATTACATTAAAAAACAATCTGTTTTAGTTGAATAATGTGAAAATACTTCAAATCGATTCATAATTCAATTCAGTTCAGTTTAATTTCTACAGCGCCAATTCACAACCAGTCATGTCAGGGCACTGAACAGAAACAGTCATATATAAAATAATAATTTAACATGATTTATCTGAGGAGCAGAATCATTCAACCTTTATTTCTACAGGTAAATCGCATTGAGCCTCCAGGACTCATTTACAGGAGAGACCTGATTTAACAAAGAAAGATGACAACAATGGACAACAGCAACAACAATAAACAGTTATAAAAAGTCATACTCCAGTTTTTATTTATTTTTTATTTTTAAACAAATAGGATGGCTTCAAAAAAGGTAACAAAAAAACAGCTAGATTCTAAGGCGAATGTATAAAACTAAAAACAGGAACATGTCTGCATTGGTCCCTGCCAGGAGTCCAACAGATCCTTAAAGACACTTAGAGAGGTCAAAGGTCGAGAGCTTCAGCTCTTTTTACAAGATATTCCAGGAAACAGGAGCGGAGTAGGAGAAGGTCCTTTTGTCTAGTTCAGTCCTCACTGAGGGAACACTGCAGGTAATGATGTCCTGAGAGCGCACGCTGTAGCTGCACTCACACAGAGACATGTAGGAGGAGATGTATGAAGGCAGCAGACCAGGAAGTGATTTAAAGATGAAAATGTACCAGTGGGAGAGTCTGTGGGAAGTTAATGGTGACCAGTTAACCAGTGAATACTGGGTGCAGTGGTGGGTACGATAGTTGCATCCAGTTATGAATCTTTGTGCACCATGATAGACAGCATCCAACATCTGCAGCATCCAACATCTGCAGGGTTCTTGTAGGAGCGTTCATGTAAATAATGTCACCGTGATCAATGGAGGGAAGGAAAGTCACAGATACAAGGTGTTCCTCAGGGTTCAGAGTTAGACAGGATCTGTTTCTGAAAAAGAAACCCAGTTTAACTTTCAGTTTCTCTAACAAGTTTTCCACATGGAGCTTAAAAGAGAGATGTGAGTCGACCAAGATACCCAAGTATTTATAGGAATTGTGAAGTTTTTTAAACCTATTGTTTAATAAATTTTGAGACTGAGAACTTGATAAAAATAAAAGAGTAAGATTTATTGATTTCTTCTTCAGAAGGAGAGAACACATGGAATGGAAACGCAGCCCAAAAATTCCTGTGTGTTCTCTAAAAAAACATGAGCAATGCTGCTTATTTATACATCTTCACATGCAACTGTAGCGTGCTAAAACGGCTAGGTTAGCTTCAGCTACACTACAATTTTATTTAAATAACGGGTTCTCTCTTTTTCGAGCTACTTGACAGATATGTGACAGAGGTACTGTGTGGAGATGGTCTAATCAGTGACATGAGACGTTAATTTTCTTTGACCCATCAAAATAAATGTGGTAATTTATTAACAGAATCAAAATTTAACATCAAAACATTGTACACTTGATTAGACTGATATCGTTCTGATTAATGAAACTTGGCACGTCTTACTTAATAAAAACAACAGACATTTCTGAAGGCATCTGGATTAATTGCTGGCAAAATAGAAGTTTAAAGATGGGAAATTATGGAGGAGTTTAAAGGAAATATGTGGAGGAAGATGTATGTCTGTAGACCAAAATAACACGCTCCTTTCAAGTGCAGCTCGCCGTGGTCCACTTGTAGTGAAGCTCGTGACGACTCTTTACCTTGGCAGAGGATGGGTCCACTGCGGTCAAAAGGTCCCTGGCACGCTACCTTTCAGTGTCTCCTCAGGGCGGCTGCGACTCGGCAGAAGTCGTGAGATACTCCGTTCCACAGAACAAACTTCCACAGCCACAGCGAGGCGCCGTGACTCCTGCAGAGATGGATGACTCCATCAGCCTGGAAAACTGAGTCCGAAGTTCCACTCAGCAGTGGAAAAACTCCAGAACTACTCCACAGTACTCCAAAAGACTCAGAAGAACTTCAGAAGAACTCCGAGGAACTCCAGAAGAACCAACGGAACCAGGAAGTGTCAACTTTTAAAGAGTTCTGCTTCCGGTCACTTGTAGTAAGTCCTGATTGGTTGAAGGAACCAACAGGGGTGTGGTTTTAGTGACGTCAAAGGATTTTTACAAGTCGAGAAAACAGGACCAG